CCCAATACGATTGGGTATACAATTGTATCAGTATCAGTTACGAGGGTAACCAAACTTTAGTTTGTCATAGACATGACTACAGGCTCTCACCTTGTATCTCAATAGTAATTACAAGGCTATTTCTAGAACTAGAGGGGATTCTCTGTTGCCATACCATTACTTCTGTAGTGCATTCGTGACAAAGACATCAGCCCCAGAGCTTTCCCCAGAGGTATTGTAACCCTGCAAAACCCTGCTTCTGACCCTCTTTTTTGTTAGACTTTTTTTCTTCTAACAGATCATTACTTGCACTTAGAGATGAGTTGCACTTAACCTTTCCTAGTTTTGGATTTTGTGGGAGTGTTATTTCCTTTTTGGTGTGAGAACTCCAGAGAGACACCACTCCTCCTTAACTACTTCTGAAGAGTCTAAACTGGAACTAGAAAATGTTGCTCTCCACAGATATCACTGTTAAGAAAGCTGTTCTGTGGTCATGATGACTCTTCAAAACTTGTGTATTTTTAGTTTGACTTGCTAGCTAGAGTATCTGTTTCATCAGGATTTTGATAACATTTTTATTATGACTGATTTCCTCTCCCCTAACCCTGCCGGATGCACTCATACCCTTTCTTATCCCCCGAGTTCCTGATGAGGAACTGCTACCCACATGTTTCTTGTGTGGTCTGTAGTCGTAAGCTGCATTTCTTAGATGTTTGTTTTTCATCTTGGTTGTATGAAAATGTTGCAGTTAAGAGATAAAAAGATGCATACCTCCAGTGCATACTGGGAGAAAATTAAAGCACCTTGAGAGATTACAAGGAGGATGCATATGCAACTTGAGTGTGCATACATTGAAGGCATACAGTCAGTAGGCAGGCTGAGACACTGGGAATGTATTGCTCCATTTTGAGCAGTCCAAATTTTAAACATGGAAAAAAATCCACACATATTCTGCAGTTTTCTTGGTGAGCCTTTGAAAGACTTTTATTTTCTTAACTAGTAGGAAATTAAGCAAGTGGTTGAGGTCTAGAGTTTAAATCTGTGATAGGATGCAAGATTTCAGGTGCCACAAACAGCCACTTTTGGAGAAGTGGTAACTCTACTTTCCAGATGTTTTCTCCAGTTAGGAAAAACCTTTTATTTTTCTGAGATTTCACAGACCTGCTCAGTGAGCAGGAGTGTAACAGACTTGTTTTTATAAAGGAGAAAACCTCTTCGCACTCAACTCCAGAAGATTTTGCCTTCTCCACGACTGAGCTGGTTGTTCTCAGTCTGCACTACAGTACTGGCCAGTTCTACTTTTAACAGCCTTCTTTCCGTTTTTAAAATAAACAGAAGAGATGTTTTCTCTCTTTTGATGATTGTGGCTCTTTGGACTCCTTAATCGTCTCAATCAGATGACTCCTCTATCCTGAGGGAATTCTCCACTAGGGTAAGATTTGGCAGAACAAGTTTTTACAAAAGCATTTCCTGGACTAAGGTGGAGCTGAATGGCATTCTGTCAGATCTGAACTGGTCTGTGGTCTCTCAGGGAGGATAGCCTGTTAATGTAAATTAGAGTTGTTTATGATAGGGAAAGCTCTACTTTAATTTACCCTGGGACTGAGTCAGAATAGTTTCCATTTGTGAACCAGTGAGCAATAACCCAATTCCTCCCACGTGCACATAGTCCCCAGAGAAAGTGGGTCTTCCTAGGGGACAGGGTTTATGTCAGAGGTTATTGGCACTGGTCAAAAAAAGAGAAATAAATAGAGAGAGAACAAGGCAAAACAGGTATTTAATTTGATTTTATCAGAAGAGCTGCCAAATGAATGCTGTGCCAGGAAACTTTACCTGCAGCTCTTCATTACTGTTCCTCTGTCAGGAAAAAACTGTGCCTTCTTATCTGTTCTGTTAACTTGAGCAAAGTCTCTTAGCATCTGAGGTTGGGGGCATGCATCCAGGATATTGCAAGCATGTCACTGCCAAGTCTGTAAATACAGTTCGTGTTTGTTGGCAGTTCCTCTGTCCATTAACATTACATCATCTCTAGACCAAGCCCATTATAGTGAAAACAGTTTCAGTCTATGTAATTTAGCTTCTGAGTTAAAAGACCCCAGTATAAAAAGTGACATCAGTCCGTGAATGCTATGTACTCTAGACAGCTTGCATCTTTTTCCAGTACTTACCCTGCTTGCCAGTTTTAAAAGCCATGTTGATTTTAAGCCAAACTGTATCATCAGGAGCTCCGATCTATTAGAATCAGTAAGTTTATCATGTATCTTCCATGACTGTAAGTTTTGAACGCTCTGTTGGCAAAAGAGCAATACAACTTTTTGATCATTGTATATAAGTTAAAAAAAAAAAAGAGAGAAAAAAAAACACCAAACCAGGAATTCAGTATTGTATTTCCATCTGCCCCTTCCAGCTTCTTCCTGTTTTACAATAAATTTGTTGCCTTTTAACTGAGGATCAGTTGTGTTGCTCAGGAGTGGGAAGGCTCTGCAGCTTCTGTGAATTGTTTTTTCAGCTTTATCTTTGTGTAATCCCTATGCTTTGTTTGCAGCTAGATAAAGGTGCTAAGATTTCTTGAGCAGTCTTCGGTTTGCGAGTTGCAAAGTCCTCCAAACCTTCTTTCAGTTTTTCTAGGTCTTCAGCTTCCCTGCAGAGTTCTTTGTTGCCTAAATTGCATGTGATTCTTTGATTCGAATCCTCATTATGCTCGGCATGAATTTCTGCATATTCCTGGTAGTTAGCTATAAATATACCAGAAGACAATTTTGTACAGAATTCCTCTGCTTGCTATTAGCAAGCTGTACCATCAGCCCTTCTTCCTCAAAGTGATTGCTCAAGAGGATGTTAACGCGGGTGTTGATAGGACTGTGGTGGGTGGCAGCTCTTTCTCAACAATGTTTTAGTTACAAGGCAAATTTCTAACCAGGTAGGTATCTGTATAGGGGAAAAGGTCTGATTATTGTGCTTGAGGAGGATCTCACCCCTTTTGTTTTTACTGCCTGAGAATTTTGAGAAGATCACTTTTTCTAGATGCCATTTTTGACAACTTCAAATGTTCCTATTGGTGATTTTCCTTTGAGATATGATGCAGGTAATACATTTCATCATACACAGATAACCCTGGTGTGGCAGTTTCCTGCTTTTGACTTTTCTCATTTGGTCGCTCCCATTTTAATGTTGGTAGTATTCTCTTTCATTCATCTTTTATTGTTTCACTTGCAAAATCAAGAAGTAGGCTGAGAGGTTGAAGCTACATGTAGAAGGAGAATGGAAACCCTAAGGAGAAGGTAGGAGAGGTAGTCAAAGAAGTGAGCTATCTAGATCTACAAAAAATCATGATGTTGACAGCAATGGGGAAAAGCATATTTGTACCCTTCAAATGTTCATGACAAGGACGTCTGTCTTTCCAAGAACTGTATTGAGATACGAGTAGAATATCAGCCCCTGGAAGAGGAGGCAGGCACAATATGTTTCAATTACTTACTTACATTACATTGATATTATCGTGGTAGCAATTTTCTTTAAATAACAGTACATTACAGCTTGGCATCCTAGATGTTTTTTAAACCATCTCCATTTGACATTTGTCATTTTGCAGGTGTCACTTACAGAAGCTATTCAGCTATTCTTGGTCGAAGCTGATCATTGGCACTATGGAGTGCCTGGATCAGAAAATGGATTAATCTTAATACCTACAGTATAATAAAATAAAAAGTGGTTGGATAGTGAATTCAGTACTGTGAAGATTCACTGAAAAATAAAATTACATCAACAGGGATGCTGCCCAGTTTAGAGTTATTAATGAAGCAATTTGTCTTACACACCAAGCGTATATGGAGAACACTTTATTCCTCTTCATCCAGGTAATGCTACAGCAGACAAGTCAGTAAAGCCTAACCTGCCAAGTTAGGTTCTGGCCCTTGGGGAGCTTGCCACTAAGTCTATTCAGAGTTCATAAAATTTCATATAATGATCTTAAGTGTTAGATTTTAAAATACCTAAATGCAAAAATGGTTGTGAAATCTATCTTCTCTAGTAAGGAGTTCTCAAATGCTTTTTAAGCCTTGTAACAGTCTGAAAGGCTCAAAAAGCCAGAAATCAAACCACAGTATTGATTTGTCCTCTAATTGAATGTTCTCAAATGTAATAGTAAGCCCTTTGTAGGGCAAATGCACAAGACAAGTACGTAGGAGAAGGCTGATCTAATGTGCAAGCATAGGTGTCTGGATCTCACATCCGTGTCAGAGGTTTCCAGACAATGTCATCTACCAATTATATTTTCATGAAAAAGTCTCCAAAAGTTGGACGCACCCAACAGTAGTTTAATGGGATAAATAAGTAATCTATACTGAAAGGAAATTGCAAGCTATAATTTGCATAGAAAGGATTTAATCTCCTTTCAAATAGAACCTGGTCTATAGATCCTTGTTGTATGAAATCAAGTATTTTTGGACAATTTTTGTATATTGTTTATCACAACTAAAGCAAACGCAGGAAATTCATAAACAAACAAGGCAAACTTTTTTTTTTTTTTGGTGGAATTCTGAAAACTACTTTTCTGAAATGAAGATAGAACTCATTAGTAATTAGGCTGACAGGGACTAACCTACTCAGAACCATGCTTTACAGCCTGACATTTTCTCATTAAGAAAAGTCATGTTCTAATTATCTATTGTGATTTTTACTCTTTTCTGCTTTTTGTTAGCAGAAATCTTGAATCCTGAACCAGGCCTATGAAGTTTGATTGCATCTAGCTCATGCACTGTTGCTGTGTCTGCTGTTATATATATGTCAGATTGCTTTTGTCATAAGAAACTAATCTCTTTGGGTTGTTTTGTAAACAACAAAAGTTGTTGAGTTCTATTAGCATAATTCTGTAGGGTAACTAACTGTAGGGTGCTATTGATGTTCTTTTAAAGGAAATATAACCTTAGCAGTCTTGAACTTATGAGTGAACTGAGACTAAAACTATTTTAAAGCTGATCAATTTTTCTTTCTTTTTTTTCTTTCTTTTTTTTTTTTTTAAGACAGGAGGAATGCATATGAGGAGCGGTGATATGAAGAAACCTTCTTGAAGTTCATGTAGAAGAAACCTTGGCTTGTAGGAAATCTTCTAGAACAGATTGCAACCATTGTCTTCCCCTGAAGTAGCTGTACAAGATGAACAGTCTGTGATAATACTCCTAACTATCTGACTTGAAAGAACATGTTTTCGGGTTGCTCAGCATGGTGTGGGGACCAGTTACCATGAAAGGATGCTGCACATGAAAACTGTTTAAAATTTTCATATAATAACAGAAATAACAGAAGTGCTTTGCAGGCGATTGAGGTGTGCTATTCATAAAGAGAAGACATTCAGGTTTTCATGGGCAGTGTCTGACTGAGGAGTAGCCATTGCTGGCCAGGCCACAGAAGCTCAAGACTCTCTGATGTCCCCCAGCAGGTGATGGGCATTCCAGTGCGACCAAGGCCTGTCCAGAGCAGAGCTGTGCAGCACCAGAGCAGCTAGCGTGGCTGTGGCGGAGTGTGGCTCCATGGAGGGCAGCGGCACAGTGGAGGAGGAGGAGAGTGGGGCTGGGTCTGGAGCCCCACCACTCACCCTGTCCTCCCCCTGCAGCTTCAGCTCTTCTCTGTGCTTCAGCTCTGCCACCTCTGAGCAGGGAGCCCCGTCACCATCCTCTACCGGCAGTCATGTGGTGGAAAGCCAGTGGGAGCTCAACAGCGTGGCCTCTGAGTCAGAGGAGGAGGAGGCGAGTGCACGGGAGCCACCAGCTGGCACACAGCCTTCAGGGCGGCCAGCCGAGGAGCCTGACCTTGTGATTGAGGTATCAGGGCAGCGCATCCGGGCACACAAGTCAGTGCTGGCGGCCAAGAGCGATTACTTCCGAGCCCGCGCCTCACGAGACATCCTGCGGGTGAAGGGGGTGAGCTACGGGGCGCTGAGGCTACTCATTGACTATGTCTACACAGCCCGCATGGGTGAGGTGCGGCACGACAACCTGGCCGAGGTAGTGAGTGGTGCCCGTGTCCTCCAGATGCCCTGCGCCTTGCACTGTGCTGCCGAGGCCATGCGCGCCCAGCTGCGCCTTGACAACTGCTATCAGCTCCTCTGCCTGGCCAAGAAGCAACGACTGGCGGAGCTGCGGGAGGCCGCCTACCGCTTCATGAGTGACCACTATCTGGAGGTGCTGCGTGAGCCAGGCGTCTATGGCCGTCTCAGTGGGGCAGAGAGGGACCTTATTCTGCAGCGGCGCCTGGAGGCTGGCCGGCGCTGCCTATTGGTGGCTGAAGTCAGTGATGCTTTCGAGCGGCCTGGTGGTGGCAGCCGTCCACAGAGCCGTGAGAGCAGCCGCCCGCAGAGCCCCTCTTCTGTGATGTCCTTAGAGGAGAGTGGCTCCCTCATCCATTGCTACCATGAGGCCAGCCATGAGTGGAGGGTGCTGACGCGTCTGCCTGAGGAGGCCAATGCCAAGGGCTGCGCCATGTGTGTCCTCCACAACTACCTCTTCCTGGCAGGGGGCATTGTTGCAGGGCCGGCGGGCAGCGAGCCGCGGGCTCGCCTCTCTGACAAAGTCTTCTGCTACAACCCCCTCACTGACACATGGAGCCAGGTACGCCCACTGGCACAGCCTCGCTCACAGCTGAAGCTGCTGGCTCTGGATGGCTACCTCTACGCTGTGGGGGGTGAGTGCCTCTTCACCGTGGAGAAGTATGACCCACGGGCTGATCGCTGGAGCCCTGTTGCGCCACTGCCCAAAGGAGCCTTCGCTGTTGCTCATGAGGCCACCACTTGCAATGGGGAGATCTATGTCTCGGGAGGATCCCTTTTCTACCGACTGCTCAAGTATGACCCCAAGCGTGATGAGTGGCAGGAGTGTCCTTACAACAGCAGCCGTCGGCGCTCCGCCGACATGGTGGCCTTCAAGAACTTCATCTATCGCTTTGACGTGAGCAGTGGCCGTGGTGGAGAGCAGGGTCCAGGTGGTGGGACTGGCGGTGGTGTTGAAGTTTTTCGATACAACACAGTGGCCAAGCGCTGGAGCCAGTGTGCCAGCTTGCGGCCCAGCAGTGGCCCCGTCCAGCCCTTCCGTTGTGCTGCCTTGGGTAACACCATCTACTGTGTCAACCGGACTGGCACTCTCCGCTTCAACTTAGCCCAGGATGGTGAGGTGGAAGCGGATGGTGGGCTCAAGGGTACCTTTGATGGTGAGCTTCTCAAAGCTCCATTTGATGCTAAGGGCCTCCTCCTACCCTTTGTGCTTACTCTTCCGGAGAAGCTGGAGAAAGCTGGGGACCAAGAGGGTTCCCTCTCGCTGTGAGTGGCCAGTCTCGCTCTGGCCCGCCGGTCAGAGGGCTAGATTACTGCTTTTGGGGAACACGCAAATTCACTCCCACAGAAGGGACTCTCTCCAACATGTCTGCAGAGAGAAGGGGCTCTCCCCCTTCCCCTCCCAAGGTTTTGGTCTGGAAGTGCTTGGTTGTCACTTGGGTAACTCCTACTGTGTTGCCTTGCTTTGTGTGGAAAGCTGAGCAAACCAGAGGAGAAGCTGCTATAAAAAGATAATCTCTGGATTATGTTTGTGTCAGTTCCTGACACTTTTTTGCACCTGGAGTTCTAAAAATTCCTGACAACAGTGTCATAATGAAATGTTCTGGTTAGTATTGGTTGTGTGTATGCATGTAGTTGTGATCTGGGCTGGAGCCTCTTCTGCCACCTGTTTTCTTTTTTATCCTGGATGATTCCAGGGGATAAGCACTGCTGGCAACATTGCTTAACTGTATTTGTTCTTATGTCAAATCAACTGTTTCCTCTGCTAGAAAAGTATAGGAAGATCATCTCAATCACAGCGTCTCAGTGCAATAGATTGCTAGATTGTTTTAGGAAGACATGGCACTGTGTGGTCCCAGGAATTTCAACCGTGATGATGTAACAGATACCAGACTTAAAGCTTTAAGCAACACAAATGTGTGCCGCATGTTCATATTTGGAATATACAAAAAAAAAAAAAAAAAAAAGGAAGTTGTTTAAAATGTGGCGTGTCATGGCAGATATGAAATGTTGATATGTTCTTTATTTGAAAAAGGCAATGGTTTCTGTATAAAAAGACATTGTTTTATTACTTTTTTATCAGAGATTTTAAATTATAACAAAAGTGGACCGAAGCTGTTTGGACTATGGCAGATTTACATGACCATATAGACCACTAGAGCTGTGGGAAATGTTTTGTACTTCAACTACTCTTTAATTAACTGCAGGTCGAGGAAAATTAATCTAAACCAAATGTAAATTCTTTGAAACTGTCTGTAGACAGCTTAAATGTTTCATTGTATGTTCAGTACCCTGTGGCAAGAGGCTTTTCCAACTTAATGCAAGACCATCAAAGGAGGACATGGTAAACAGGAATGTGCTACACATGTTGATTTTATTGTGCACTAGCGTGATGTTATTTCCCTATCTTTGGATTGAAAGACTGCTTTATTTATTTTGATTGATTGCTGTAGTCAATAAGCCCTTGTCAACTGCAGTACATGCTGATGGCCTATGCTGTCATTGGGATTCCAAACCACTCAGGTGCTGTTTATGGAGCAGCATCCTAACGAGACACAACCCCAGAGAAATTCTTCTTGCCTGTGCAAAGTCGGAGCATACTTTTTTTGTTGTGTTACTTGGAACTGGAAAAGCATAAACTGTCTACACAGACAAACTATACTGAAAAGGGCACTTGCATTTATTTTAAAAACTTTATATATATATATATATATAAAAAGTCAATAGACAGACAAAGCAAATGTTTTAGCTTTACTGTAAACCACTGAAACCTTTTCTGAAAAATAGAACCAGTGTTTTTACTATTAGTGATTCAGCCTGGAATTGGCATGGACTATGGAGGGGAATTGTTTATATTCAAAGTTCTAGTATAGATTCATATTTTAGAAATAAATAGGGAACTTACATCAAAGAGCAGCAGATCTTTTTATGTTTTATTAAGATGTTTCCATTAGCAGAACATTAGCATTCTTATGTTATGGCTAGTTCCAAAGGGAGGCAGCAGGTTCTGTCCTAAGAGACGCCGTCTTCACAGAAGACGGTAGTGAAGTTTATAGATATTTTTTTCTTTTTCTTCCCAGTTTTTTTTTCTTCCTGTTTTTTTTTTTTTGTTTTTTTTTTCTTTTTTCTTTTTTCTCCTTTGCTATCTGTCCTGCATTTTAATACAGCTGATCTGATTTGCTATCTTTAGAAAACAGTGGTTTGGTTCTTAGCCAAGCGAGCCCATTCCCAGTGAGCTCATTAAAGCATCTCCCAGGTGGGAGCTGCACTCTGATGCTTATCTTAGCCTCACTGCAGGACGGTGCAGTGGAATTAGTGCCACAGATGGCGTATTTGTTAGTGATTAACAAAGAAACTGTTTGTTGTTTTTTTTTTTTTTTGCTGAATGATGATCTTAATTCTTTGACGAGAATGCTTGGAAATATTGACTCAGTTAAATTACAGTGTTGTAGCTTAAGCAGGAAAGAAAATGATGTATTTGCCTTCATCATCATTTTCTATTTTAACTGTAGAAGGTATTTAAAGCTGTGTAGTGAAATACTGAGGTGGATATTTAAACTGAAGACGTAAGTGCTAGGTTTTGAATTAGCAGTCACCACAAACACCCAAGTGTCAGTTCTGTCTTACAGTACAGTGCAGTTTCATAGTTCAAAATATTTAGTAGTACAGTTTTTATGTTACAGTATAGTAGGGAATCAAGCCAGCTTTGTCACTCCTATTAATTGGTCATTAATTAAGCATTCTCATCCCTGTTAATGCATGAAAATGCTGCTGAACGAGTTTTGAGAAGTCTCCCTGATTTGAGATGCAAAAATATGTCGCAGACTTTGAGTAAGGAATGAAACACATCCTTTCTTCCAGACCTTGTTGCTATATATCATGAAGAAATAGATTTGGAAATAATCTTTACAGCACTATGTGTTTGCCAAACGTGCAGTGGTTTGTATTTTTGTTAGCTTACATCATTAGCAGAGATTGTTTCAAGTGCCTTCCCACTCTGCTGTCACACAGTGAGAGCAGAGTCTGGTCTCCATTAGCAGCTGTCCATCACGCCTGTTTCCTTCCTACACTCTGCGTAATCACAGCCCAATGACTGACTGCAGTGCTGTGTTTCAGCCCACATTTCCTACTCTGTGGCCTCTCTTTCCTCCCTGGTAAGCCTGAGGCAGATTTGCTGGAAGCTGTTTTTTTCTGCTGCTTGCGTCTTTAGTGTATTGAAAAAATTAATGCTTGGGTACTAAAAGCAGGATTTAAATAGACTTCAGGAGTGGAAGACCAGATGATGTGATACCCAGGAACCACTGTTGTAATATGTTTGTGTGGTCCAAACCAAAGTACCACGCTACCCTCACACTGTGTTTGTCTATGTATGGCTTTTAAAGCAGTCATTTATATAATTGCCTGAAGGCTTCTGCATTTGCATGGAACATGGAGATGGTATTTGCTTTCTTAGCCTGCAATGATTTAACCCAAATCCCTGGAGGACTGGAGGACTTGGAGCTAATCCCTGCTCTCTAAATATTTGCATTACAGTATAATACAATGTTTTGTATTATGCACTAGATCACTAAAAATCTCAGAAATTATCCAGATAGGTGAATTCAAACCACCATCCTCACTGAGTGGTCTAAGACAAGCTGGAGAGCCATTTTCTTTTCCGTGAATCTCACAGTCTCCTCTCTCACCTTTACCAGGGCATGCAGGAAATAATTTTTCTGCGTCCTCTTCCCTAGGGTACTCCTGTTTTCCAGGTCATCTTCCAGAAGACATAGACTTGAATTCTCCTGAGCAGAGGAAGGACCAAACTCAGACCTCCCACATAACGTGTGTGTATTCTGAAATCTGGATATTCGTAGAAGAATATTGGAACCACATTCTATAGCTTCTTTTAGGGATAAATCTCATACAAAACTTTCAAAAGCACATACAGGCTCCAGTTCCTGGATGCGTAATTTGGGATATGTTTAGTACGAATTGGTACAATGGGACAAGTTTTCTGGAGAAAGCTTTTTCAGATAGGCTCTGAATTTTGGTTCTCCAGGCTGAGGTGAGGGGCTCCATGCACTGTACCAGGAGACTGCAGAGGTAGTTTAGATCCCACTCAGGCGCAATGCCTTGTTTAAGAGGCATGCATGGTATGGAAATGCCAGGAGCCTTCATTGCATCTAAATGAAATCCTTGCATCAGGCCACCTCAGCAAATGCTAATAACAGACAGAAATTTACAATTTCCACTAACTAGTTCTGTAAAAAAGAATTTAATTACAGCAAAGCCATTGGTACAAATTCTGTTTACTCTTGAAAAATAAGTCAAAGGAATAATTGGCAAAAAAATAATCCTATTTGGTGAAAACAGGCACTGCTAAGCAACATGGGAAGGATGCTAATTGTACCCTACTAATGAATAAAATTATGCAGCAGCTGATGTAAATTCTGTCCACAAAAACAAATCCTTTGTAAACAAGTACATGGTTAAATTTTAAGAATGAATTATGCACATGAAAGCTGTAACTTTCCTATGCTGCTTGAATGGCTCTCAGAGTACTGTATCCCAATGTTCACTATTCATGAGTGGCCTGTTGCTTTTCTTGCTTTATGGTATCTGTTCCATTGACTGCTCTGCAGATGGGTTGCCCTTCATTACCACAAAGCTTAACATTGGCATGGGAGTGATTTGCTTTGTGTCTGAAATGACGTGTAGTGCTTTCTCCTTGAATGAATCCAAAGGATTTAGAATTACCTTTCTTTGGGCTTTTTATTTTTTTAGTGGCGTTGCTTTTGGGAAACTTAAGAGAGCACAGGAAGGGAAATGGTAGTACAGTGGAGGAGCTGTGGTAACAAGCATTTAATGATTTTCTGTCTGCCATTATTCTACGCATCAGATGCACGTTGGACTGAAAAAGACATCTCTGTGTAGTTATTAACAGTGTGATCCCAAGTGCTGCTGTAGCAAAGTATGTTTTCATTTAAGTATATTCACTGGCTCAACTCTTACTCTGAGATCATTTAATGAAGGTTAGTAGTAATTCCATAATAAAGTAGATTACTGGAACTATTCTTAATTGACATTACAACTACTAAAAGCAGAGATTGACACCCAAATTCAGTAAAACTCAGAATATGTAATAATACACTTTTCATTTGTTTTGGCTTAATGAATGCTGTTGTAAGAGCTGCTGGAATGAGCCCATCCAAATTAGGAAGCAGCAGGCTATTTTAGAGGCTCTCTAAGCTTCATAATTACTCAGAGAGAGGAAATGGGAGAGTGAGGAAGAGGGAGAGGAGGAAGAAGGAGAACTGGGAAAGGAAAATACCTACCACGTATTCAGTAGAAACAAGTAGCAGAGAAGGGAAACCAGAGTTAGTATTGAGACTGTGATGACTACATGACCAATTTTCTTTCAAGTATTTTTTAAGTAGCTTGAGTTTTTTGTCTGTGTTGTTGGTCTTGTTGTTCTGCACCTGCAATTCATCTCAAACAACCACAGTGTTCAGTAATCTGCTTTTTGCAGGAGCTTTGTGCTTTGCTTTTAAGTTTTGGTGGATAAACCTTGGACAAATCTGAAACCATAAAGTAACCATGTTGATGCTGCCACTTAAAACAGGTTAAGTCATGCAAATGCTTTAGATACTGTTCACAATTCAGGTGAATTACATGTGATGTATTAACAGTTCATTTTCAAAGTGTATATATGTAAGGTCACTGTAAAGCTTTTTATGTACTCCAATTTATGCTGTAATGAAATAAATACATACGAAAGGCTTATGCTCGCTCCCCTTAGAGGTTTCTGAGTAACTGTTGTTTTTCCTTTGTCATCTGTCTGATCAGTAAACAGTATTATGTATGTTCTTTTCATGAAACAAAGACAAAATTAGGTGGATGGTCACAAAGGCAAAATCTTCAGGAAATGCTCTGAATATTAGGAACATGAAATACTCGGCGGTGAAAGCACTAAGTTTTAAGTACAGATTTGCATAAATTCCAGTTCCACTGATTTTTATTTCCTGTTATGTTTATTTTTTTTCCTGGAAAAATGTTAAAATATTTACTTGTTAATGTTATGTGCAGGTTTTCCCAGTGTGCTCTCCTTTCTATGTCAGACATAGGATTTTTGACAGCAGTAGATATAAGAGCAGAATCAAGCACAACTTGAGCTTAGGATGTTGTCTCTTACTTATTGTCTCATCTGTTAGTTTGCTGAAATGATATCATAGAACCCTTTTGAAAACTCCAGGATTCATAGTGAGACTCAGTGAAGTTTGACATGGTATCATTCACGTTACATGTAATTTTCCTTTGCCAACCCAATGTACAAGTTCTATTTTGACTTTTTTATGTTCTCTGCATAACACCCAAATTATGCTGCTGGATAAACCAGGATAAATCAGGAACAACTTAACTAGGGATCTATTTAGGAAAAAAAGAAACAGCTTATAGATTTAGGCAATCACTAATTTAAAATGTATTTTTTGTATGTTTGCTTGTTTTTTTAAAAAACTGATTTCATTACAACATTATTTTTTTTTTTTAACTATGTCACTTTCTATTTTTCTCTGTGCTGTTAACTAGATACCAGAAAACATAGTGCCAGTGACATTTCATATGACATGTATATTCCCCTTTGGGTTCACTGACCATTGTCATAGAGTCATAGAATGATTTGAGT